CGACCTTTGCTTGCCTGGGATGCAGGTGGTTCCAGAGAATGGGCTTCCTGTTTCTGCTGCGTTGATTTGGCACATACTTTCTGTATTTTCAGAGCGTATTCATGCACGCGTTTGTGGGTGCGTCCTCGCTTATGGGAATTGTATTCTACGACTCAATTCGGATAAAAGTCTGCAATCAAGTGAGAGTAAAGTATATGGGAGGCGGTTAGGAGTTTTTTCCAACAAATAATCTTCATGTCCACCCTGGTAGAGCCTGGCAAGCTACCCGTGAGTATACCCAATCTCTACATTCAAAGTCTCTCAAGCTATACGTGGGTATCAAAAAAAGTGTCAAAATGCTAAATGCAGTAAAAGAAACGGACCCCATTTCCTGACCCCGAAAAAGCCCAAAATTCAGCAGCGACCATAATAAAAACCTCTTGTCTGCTTATATAAGGAAAACATTGAAAATCAATGGTCGGCAGTTACATCATCTTCGCTTTGCTGATGACATCGTCCTTATAACACCAAACATTAGCAGGGCGGAACGTATAATTGACGACTTTGATAAAGCCTATAGAAAGATTGGTATTCGACTAAATCTCACAAAAACGATGTTCAAGAAGAACGGATTGGTTTCGCATGCCCCATTCACGCTCAACGAAATGAATATCTCCGAATGCTACAGTTATGTCTATCTAGGTCGGGAAATCAATATGATGAACGACCTAGCTCCAGAGGAAGGGAACGAGCGGCTTGTGGAGCTTTCAGAAGCATGGAGGATGTAGTGAAGAGGTCAAAGAACACCCGACTCTGTGCCCACCTTTTCGACTCAACGGTACTTCCTGCCCTAACGTGTGCGTCAGAAACCTGGTCGCTGCGTAAGCAGGGCGAAAGGTCACTCAACGTTATCGAACGCGCAGTCGATAGAACGATGCTAGGAGTGTCCCGTTCCACACAAGTAAGGAAAATAATCCGAAGCCACGATCTGCGTCAACGATCAAAAATCAAGATGTCGTTCTGTACGCCATATAGTCGAGGGTAAGGTGGGCCGGACACGTATTCCGTATAAATGAGGACCGATGGACAAGAGCCGTTAGTGACTGGATTCCTCGGGATATCAAACGCACTTCAGGAAGACCACCGATCCCATGGTCAGAAGAGCCTTGAAAGAAGATATGATGCTCGACGAGTCCCTAGAGCGAGCAAAACCCACTGAGCTACTCTTGCACTCGACAGGGAAAAATGGAAGATTTACTGGCGCCCGCTCGAGTCACTCGGCGATCGACGGGACCTCAGGCGATACAGGTGTTACAGGTGAGTGACAGAAATGATTTCAAGCATGAAAGAATCCCAGAGAACCGCAGAAAGTAAAATTACTGTTTTCAATCCGTGAAAATACAAATGAAAGTCTACAAAAACTCCGTACAATGTTATAATGGTGGCAGCTATTGAACTGTCCGTTGCGATTTTATACACACAAACAAATTGTAGAGAAGTGATCTTGAATATTACCAAATGTCTGTAAAACTCAAATAGATTTTTGAAATTCCGAAAATCTTTGTGTGAGATCGAAATCATGCGACCTCTAAGCAAAACGAGATGACGGAGATCCGGACCGAAGCCTTCGTCGAGCTCTGACGGATTTATTTGTCGCATTCAAACTATTGCAATACAGCTACAGAGAGGCTGTGAAGCGCTTTCCAGCGCGAAGCAAAGAAAAAAATTAGTCATATTACGTTCAGTTTGGAAGGTCTAAGAATGAATTCAGCCGATTATATATGAAACCGACTTATTATAGTCCAAGAAAAGAGCGAAGTATTCCAACGACACCGCGTTGCTCACCTCGCCAACTGTGCCCAGCAATAAGCGTAAGGTCGAATTAATATTGATTTGCCCCCTTTCATAAACTACTTCTAGGTGTCGAAACCTGATTAATGTGTTTTCAAAGCCTTTTCAACTTGTTGTATCACACAACAATAGAGATCAGCGACTTAAAAAACAAGCGCCGAAATAAGATAAAAACAATATCGATAATCACTAGCGCGCTAGGGGAACTAGTGGTAAAGAGGTCCCCTCCTAGCGGCTAAAGGAGATATCGCACTATGGACCTACAGGAAAAGCGAAGAAATCTTGGCAACCATCATTAGAAATATATTCGAGGTTATGTTAGAGAGTTATCCCATAGAGCTCAATCTTCGCGTCACTGATGTGTTAGCAGATTCCTGCTACATTTCATTCAGTGAAAACAATAAAAATGCAAGTCCTTAGAATAATGGCGAGCAGCAAATAACAATGTTCGACTTAGTTGTCATTATTGTCCAATTTTCATATGCCATCAATAATTTTAGGGGTTCGAACAGTGTGCAAATGAACAATGAGACGAATACTCTTCAGTGCATCCCATAAATGAGATCGAAGATCTTTCGGTTTGTGATTGATTCCTCATAAGTTGTCTAGTGAAAGTTATGAGATGTTCGTTGGTCATTTCTAATTCTAGCCGAATCATCTGGAAGGCTCTCACTCCGACCTCGGTTTGTTACAAGTGCGATGGATTTGCGGAACGAAGAAGTTGGAGATCAGAAAGATGTTACTGTGAAATTAATTCCATTTAGTGAGTCGACATTATTGATAAGCCGCTCTAATTGGAAAGACGTAAATACAGGCACAAGTGCACAAAATCGTTCAATGCAAAACGCACGCCTTTTCTCCTACATAGGTGCACAATTACATAAACGCATATATATATCCATAGATACATACATACATGCATGCATACATACATACATACATACATACGTACATATATACCAAAGCTAACGATCGAAAATTCACAAGAAAATTTTTGATCTGTAAAATGGGCGGATAGTTGGAGTTAATTTGTCTGTATAAGTCAGGACAGCACTTGACAGTGGTCGTAAACTAGAATTAAGAATTCTTAATTAGCAGCTGCATCAAAACGAAGCAGTGCTAAGGAATAAATGGGCTGCGTTACATGCGTCGACTGTCGCCGGTTACGCAACGCCAGAAACAACGCCGCGAATCGCCGGTCTAATTTTGATGAGAAGTCGATGTCCTTTGAGCAGAATTACATCATTTCGCGATCCAAAGTGAGTCTATTTGTTTTTTACGTTAAGATCGAAGAAGATAAGAAAAACCACGGAACACTTTTTGAACCAGTGGCTTCATTCGAATCATGTTCAAGCCCCGGATCTCTGGTGGTAGTCGATCAAATGTAGTCATGGAAATCGTAGTTAACTAGCTGATTTGAGTCGTGTAGGAAAGACACAAAAAACTCGACAAGTGGTTGCCACACGAGTTAAACAATAATAAAGAAAATCTCCGTTTTGAAGTGTCGCCTGCTCTTATTCTGCGAAACATGAACGACGCTTTTTTCGATCGGATTGTGACGCTCGACAATAATTAGATTCGGTACGACAACCGAGGACCTTCAGCTCAATGGCTGGACTGCTATTGGGGTCTACAGCACTTGCCAAAGCCGAAATGGCACCAAAAAATGTTTTGGTGACTGTTTGGTGGACTGCATGCAGATTGGTTATAACAGCTTTTTCAATCCAAGCGAAACGATTACGGCGGTCAAGTATTGCCAACAAATGGACGAAATGCACCGCACCGTAAACTACAACAACAACGACCGGTATTAGTCAACAGAAAGGGACCAATTCTGTTCCACGACATTCCCGGCCTCGCTATGCGGATCCAGCGCTGCAGCAGTTGAACGAGTTGGACTACGACACTTTGCCTCACATACCATATTCAGCAGATCTCTCGCCTACCGAATATCACTTTTTCAAGCATCTTGACAACATTCTGCGCGAGAAGTGCTTCACCAACCACGAAGACGTAAAAAATGTCTTTAACGAATTCATCGCTTCTGGAACTCTAAAATTTTAAGTAACTAGAATTATTAAACTTGTCTCTCGTTAGAAAAAATATTTAGATTCAAACTGGTCTTATTTTGATTAATAAGGCATTGTTTGAAGGAAGTTATGACATTTTAAATAACATAGTTAGAGAAGCTCTTTTATTTCCGAACGGCCTAATAGTATCATTGAGTTCAACATCAACACTGGCTCAAAATTAACCTCGGAGAGCACCGTAGTGCGGTCGGAAGCATGCAATAGTGCAGCCGAACAAAGCTATCTTTGGTCACCTTTCAGCACTACAACGAAAACAGCCCACATTAATCTACAGTCCATTAGATTCTGTCGAGCGATCACAAATCGAATATTTGGCGAATGAACGAAACTACTATCTTCAGTATAAACATCATCGTCGTTGTAAACACAGTGGCTGGGGAATACCATTATAACTCGCCTGGTTTTTTTTCTAACATCTAGCGTTTAGCAGAGAGAACGAAAGCTCAACCACGACAATTCAGGTGTTGGATGCCAATGTGCATCGCGTCGCCAAGGAGCGGTCTCTTCTCATGAATGAAGACATTGCGCAAATTTTCGGAAAAGCGCAGCCAGTCATGAACTTGCACGGGAGAAGTTGTGAAACAGCTTTCAGGATCAATTGAAAAGAGGGACGAAAGCGTGTGTAATGTGGTTGTGGTAAGTGCTCTAATCATATAAATTTTCGCAGCCGAGTTTCTATCTCTTTTACTGACTTCCAAATCCGGTAAAGCCACGTTAGTAACAATCACTTAAGGCTGTTACATACTTTTTACGTAGATGTGTTGTCCACACAGAAGGACACCACAGTAAGACAGCTCGGAAACCCTTTCATCACTTTTTTTCAAAAATTTCGCCCATAACAGGACAGTTGCTAAAATCATGGAGATTTTGAACCCTTAGTGATAAAAATGATTCGAACCATGGAGGAATTCCGGAGAAAGGCAGAAAGTAAATTTACTGCTTCCAATCCATGTAAATGCAAATGAAAGTCCACAAAAACTCCGTACAGTGTTATAATGTTGGCAGCCATTGAACTGCCTGTTGCGATTTTATACACGCGAACAAATTGTAGACAAGTGATTAGGAATATCACCAAATGTTTATAAAAGTCAAATGCATTTTTTCGAATTACGAAAATTTTCGTGCGAGATCGAAATCATGCGACCCCTAAGCAAAGTGAGACGGTGAAGAGATTTGTTTACTGTAGTTGTGGACGGAAACCTTCGACGAGCTCCGACGAATTTATTCGTGCACTCTAACTATTGCGGTACAGCAATAGAGAGGCGACGAAATATTTGTGAGCAAAACTCAAAGCTGGCAGAGTGTCAGCGAAGCTCCTCCAAGTTATTACGTGTAACTTCGGTTGCGGCTTGAAAATTTTCATTTCATCTTTAATGTCGTTGAATGCTGGTCCCTGGAGTCCTGAGATAGCCGGGCTGGAGCGTTTCTATCTTGATTGCAGATACTGATCTTTACCAAAGAGATCCGGTACCAATTTCCCGAATCAGGTGGGTTGGTTGGCTCTGAGCAGAATCAAACTAGCACCGTACTCATGATGAAAGACATCACTAGTACGGTGCTAACCGGTTCACTTTACAAAGCTCAAGGAAAAATCTCTGCGTTAATTTAGGATCGAACTGATTAAATATGAAACAGTTTTGTTCAGAACCAAAGGAAGGACGACAAAGCGGCATAGACCTCATAGTCACTCCGGTGAAACGCATTCCGACCGTGAAACTTCTCGCTTAGAGTAAGAGATTTGATATCCTGTGTCTAACACTATGACATTCTCCGATAACAAAAATCCACAATATCTATCATAGTTGACGAGTTTGGCCCCCGCAGTTTCACGTGCAGATGGCAAGACATAGATCTTCGTACAACAGAGTGCTATTTCGAAATCAGAGACGGAGAGATTTCGCCTGCCTTCATTGTCTGTTAATCACCTGGTAGAATTCGATATTGTCGAAGAGCATAAATGAGGGTCGGTTTGATAAATAACGATTCGTTACGTTTTAGCATATATAGTACCGACTGTTGCAGGATGCACCTCCACTTTATTCGATTCCATGCGACAACGAGCAATCACAGCGTCACGACGAGCAGCTGTGGACCATCGACACGAATCAAAGCGGCTCAGAGGAAGACGGGGGCGCCGTAGCATTTGCGAAATAAACCATTTTATTAACATCGTGTTAGCTTAACAATGCAAGAAGGCGTCTCCCAGAATGAAGAACTAAATTTTTTGCCATTGTTTCTTCGAATGTGTTAAACACAGAAAATATATTTGATTCTCGTTAGAAGCAAAATCTATGACGAAAATATCGCCAGAAACTCTCGAGTCGACCATATTTTGCCAACTGTGGAAAAATGGAAAAGTAAAAAATCCTTTTCACAAAGTCCTGAAATGTTGCCAAGATGCACTGGACTTTTGCAGTATTACCAAAATTACAATAAAATGTGGTTCAACAAAAGTCTTGAAGGTGAACGAAAACGTGGTGATACAACCTAACGCTTTGTCTAGAAGTGGGTTTGAAGTATAACAAATTAAAGGCCTACTGACGCCCACACGGCCCACACGTAGTTCACGTGGGTCGCGAGCAAGACACGCCCCGGGGTCAAAATATCATTTTGAAATAGGGTGCCAGGTCACGCATAATAGCGAAGCATTCGTCGTTCTGGTTCATCGTTGGATTTTTGAAATTTAACCAAAACGCCTCAAGAGTTTTGCGCGTTGATGATTTTGATTCCTGCGCTAGGGTCCGCACATTCACTTCAAAATCATCGCCGTTGTGTTTTTGTGCCCTATGCGTACCTAGAGGAATGTTTAGACGGATTTTGGATTTTCCATCTAGATGTTCTTTCATGCGGACACAAAGAGGTCTACCCGTTTCCCCGATATTTCCTCGCCGCATGCATTACATGAGATCAAGTATATTATACCTAAACTCATGCGATCCACGTCTTTCCAGTTAGGATAGATCATACAGTTTTCTGAGCTGCACAAACGATCATAGAGACGGTTTCGAACTAACTGGCGGCGTAGGGTATTGAGGGGGATGTCAACAATCGTTACATAATTTTCAAGACCACTTTTTCTTAAGCACATTTTAATGGCGTGACTTAATTCATTTGATATGAAGGGCAGCTTAAAGGGGATCTTACTTTCGTCTGAAATATTATTTTGGGGAACCACCCAACGTTTTCCTCCAACCCGAACGGCTTCTACTTCGTAGCCATTGGAAGTGGCAATTTTTCGTGCCAGGTTTTGCGATTCCTTCCTTTCTTGTTCTCCTATACACACATTTTTAGCCGTACGATACATATTTTTGATAAATGCTTTTTTCATGTGTGATGGATGAGAAGAGAAGCAGTGAACTAGAATGTGTTTACTACTTGGCTTGCGATACCATTTTGTTATACAGCCACTTAATGAGAGCTTTATTTGGATGTTTAAGAATGGAAGCCGGTATAGAAAGTCGGTCTTTCGAGTTATTAAAAGGTGTGGATACTTCTTTGTGGCGTCATATAGGATGGAAACTATGAACAGCTGTTTATTTCTGACTACAGGCTTCATATTAGACCGTGATCGCTGCCTACAAAAAGGAGCAGTCTGTGAACCCGTGAACTTTGCCGGTTCTAACTGGTCTATCTAGCACTACTTGTTGCCCTTGATCCGAGAACCGCCGACAAGGTTAGAGCTTACTAATGGGACGTGGTAGTTTAACGACGTATGGTCTATTTCGTTGTCAGGGTGAAAATGTAGATGGGAGCGAATGTGTACGGATGGCTCGGTACGAGGTGTTCTCCAATGACTGGTACTACTTGCAAGCTATACTCGTTGGAGACGTTTTTCTTCACATACAAAAAAACCTTTGTGCTGTACATATCATGTCTTTCGGTTATCCCTTCGTATACCACACATCGTGGAGCACCTCTATATAGTCGGTCGTATAGAGTTGGTTTATACCGTTAATAACTTTGAATACTGCTTATCATTTTCAGGACTGAGAGTGGAAAAACGACTAGTTGCTGTTGCTGCAGTTGCGGTTTACGCCGGATTGAGCGGAATTGGCGAAAATGCCTGATTTCAAACAAAAAATTTGATGGAGAGAAAGTAGAAAGAGAAGTATGTCGTAAGGTAACTGCAGCTTCCACTTTGGTGTGCTTGTAAATTTTTAACAGAAGTTAGTTCTACGGCAGAGTCCAAAGCAGTGTTAATTAAACAAACGTAATTAGCGTGAACCAATTAAAGATCTCTAAGGCGCAATCTTAAGCATGGGTAATTAGGCTGTTTATCACCTGTATCACCTGTAGTCCCGTTGATCGTTGAGTGACTTGAGCGGGCGCCGGTAAATCTTCCATTTTTCCCTCCCGCGTGCAAGATTAATCCAGTGCGTTCTGCTCGCTCTAAGGACTCGTCGAACATCATATCTTTCTTCAAGGCTCTTTGTGAAGAAATCTGATAATCGGGTCGGTGGTGTTCCTGCAGTACGTTTGACATTCCGAGAAATCCAGTCACTAACGGCTCTTGTCCATCGGTCCTCATTCATACGCATTAATACGCATTATTGGTGCTTCAGTGGGTCCACGCCGCATGATTGAACCAATGGCACATCGCGTGTGTTTTGCAGGACACCTCTGACTACTGCACTATATGAGGACACAACATTTCTACTAACTTGTGTACTCACACGTACTGTTCCACATATCTATCATTCTTCACAATGCGTATCTTATGCCGAATTTTACTCAAAAATGAAAAGTTGTTTTCGAAGCAAGCACTGCAGTGATAATCTCAAAAGATACTTTAGAAGTATATCATAACTGCGGATTACCAACAACAATGACATCTGTTATCCAAAAAATCTTGCAAGTGACATATAACTGTTAGTCTGGAACAACACCATATCGTCCAGCCCATGCGCTTAAGGCGAAAGTGGTGTTGGGCATTATATTATTGGCACAAAAAAAAACGGTTGACTTTGAACCAGAACTTTGGAAAGTTGTCATTGAAGTCAACAAAGAAAATGAACTCAAACACAACATTATTGGTCAAGATAAAAGCCCGAGAATATTAAAATTTTCGTGGATTAGGGAAGTTTTTTCCCCAATAGTCTTCAGTTCTGAAGTTCGGGAACCGACGAACTATTCGAAAGCAACGCTTTGCCTACGAAAGATTTTTCGTTATAGTCGAAATCCTTGCAAAAAAAGGTAGCTGATTAGCGAAAGATTGCACGAGCATATTCGATGAGGAGCAAACCTGTAACGGAAGGACCTACAACACATTCCGCAATAAATATTTAATAGCAAGGCGCGGGAGCGTGTAGCGCAGTGGTCAGAGGCACCCTGCAACACACGTCAAATCGATCTCTATGCCCATGGCCAAGTCTTCCATCCCTCCGAGATCGGCAATTTGTTAGCAGACTTGTCTAGGAGAGTAGCAGCACTGACTCGATACATCGGTAGGCTACCGCGAGTCATTGTAAAGACCAGATATGCATTCAATCACCTCCAAATAACGAAGTCGAATGCATGACGCATCCCTGAGGGATTGATCAACACCGAGTGTTTTATGCTTTTTTGCTGCTACATAACATTTCAGGACACCTCAATGATGCTGAGACATTCGCAAAACTAGGGTCCTAAGCCAGATCGAACCACGATTTTTCTTTCCAGGGCTAGCGCATTACACACTGCGCCACGTAGGACGTTGCTCTTCGTCTCTCGCAGCTAGTTTCTCTACCTAGCCCTGCCATCAGCAATCACCCTTCAGCGAGATTGATCTGGAAAGCACAAATCGGGATCGAAACAGGATTGCTTTGGAGAGAATAGATTGGCATTGAACCCAGTTGACGGGTGATTGCTAATGGCAGCGTTAGATAGGAAAACTAGCTGAGAGAAACGCAGAGCAAGAGTCTCCATGAAGCATTGTGTAATGCGCGAACCCACGGAAAGGGAAATCGTGGTAAGATCCGCTCCTGATTTTTTCTGCAGTCTCTCCGTTGTCCTAATCAATAAAATAAGAAATTATGGGAGGTATCGGTGTGAGGCGCCGACTCCACAAAATTCGCGCGCCCTAAAAATTTACTACAAACCTGCGATGTAGTGAAGTTTAGAATAAAAGAATAAGGCTCTCGGCGTTGATCAATCCCTGAGGGATGCGCCATCCATTCGACTTTATTAAGTGTCGTTGGAAGTGAATGAATGCATATTTGGCCTTTAAAATGACTCACAGTGGCCTACCGATGTATCGAACCAGTGCTGCCATCCTCCCAGACAAGTCAGGTATCGCTTTGTCGACCCCGGAGGAATAGAGGGCTCAGTGGGTGATGTGCACGGGGATCGATTCCATGTGTTTGTTGCAGGGTGCTTTCGACCATTTCGCCACAAGCGCACTATTTAAAAAGTTAAATTAAACGATTAAATTAGATCAAAATTAAAACGAATTTTAGAACAGACAGTAAATAAAGTCCGATCGAAGGAACATTTAAGCGAGCTGCGAGGTATCGACAACATGCTTTAGGAAAAATCTGACAAATGTGTTGTGATGCGTGAGGTGAAAGGTGAAACGCGATAATTCATGGAAACTTCTGAATGAGCGCAGCAGCGATTGCAGTGAAGAGCCGCTCTTTGGACTCAAGAAGAATAGATACTGTAAGACAATTTAAAGTGGAAATAGTTATTAAGAGAAAAATATAGGCACCCAATTCTATGAAAAGCCTGTCTGTGCTTGGGTGTGCCTAAGAATATGAACTAAGCACAATACACTGTCACTAAGAGATTTTCGATTAGAGGACGGGATAATTCAAGTCCATGCTTTTCATTTTGCACTCCCAACGAGAATGAGTCCCGCAGAGAATCGGCGTCAGGCCTTTGTATTAAGCGATACATGTAACCGGCAAGAACGGCAATTGCGACAAACGATCAAGCATTTCGGTATCCGGAGCTGTATGAGCAGAAAACAAAATAAAGAAGCAAATTTTGGAATGGTACGGGGAAGCAGTTCCAATTGTACAAAATCTGATCTATTTGTACTAATGCTATACGGCAATTCTGAAGAGAAACTTTATCTGTTATGGTCAGTTTCTTTGAATAAGGAAACACAACGACTATTCTACCTTAACTGTCGAATGTTATGTGACCATACAAACATGCACCACCAACCGAAAGTGCCTAGCGTTTTTTTGACATCGGCTGCAATATCATAAGATTGCAAAAGAGCATTTAATTTAATTAAGTGGAACAAAAGTTCTTTGCCGTTGGTAATATCTGTTAATCTATCACTACCATTCCCACTTAATCCCTTCACAAGTACCTCATGCTATTGTTATTTAAACACAACGATGCTTAGACATGAGGAAAATTTGGACCTTAAGTTGGGCATCGAACCAGCGACCACACTTCCAGGTTGGCGAGGGCAATCGCGAGTCAGAAGCCCAACTGAGGTTCCCAGTTCTGCTCATATGTCAGTGTCGTTTTACTTGTATTTCACGTAATACCCCGTTATAAAAAAGCAATGGACAGTAAATTAAAACTGAATAATCACAATTTTAACCCATTATTTACTGCCTACTCTTTTTAATGGCGGAGTATATTGCGAAATATAACTTCAGTGGTGCTGTGATATTTGGAAAACTCCGACCTGCAGGTGTCTGCGGTGGGGAACGAACGCGCTATTACCTATCCCTATCGATCAGTACCAGCAGCTGTCATTCTAGCGGGATTGATAGGCAATCTGGGAAACAGACGAAGCGAAAAACCCGCATAGTGTGGTAGTGAACGCATTAGCCCTCGAAAAGGGTAATAGCGCATTCGTTCCCCAGCGCAGACACCTGCGGTCCGGAGTTATGCAAATATCCCAGCATTACTAAAAAACTGAATAGTGTGAATCACAACTCTTTTAGTGATATTTGCCACTATTAGTAACAAGCCCACCCAATGGTTTACCGCCGCGTCGTGGCTGGGAAGTGTTCCTGGAAATCGGACAGCGATGTACAGCAGGGGATTCTTCCCACCTGCAAGGTCTCCCATGCTGAGACGGAATCCATCGTTTTCATCAGGAAGCCCAGCTAAGAGCAATCCAATACCAGGATCCGTCACGATCTTGGCATTAAACTAGTCGCACAGTGGCAAATTCACCTTTGATCCATAAGGGCAGCGACTGCCTGTGATGTTGCTGACCTAGGGCAGACTTTGGCTAGGCTGACCTTGGGACTCTAGGGAAACACAGTGTGTGAGCCAGCAAAGCTCCGAAAAATGGAGAGCATGTTGGAGCCCGCACAACCAGTGAGGACAGGTGGTCAATGTATCCGAATAAGTAGTAATTACAGCATTTCAAGAAGGAAGGGAAATGACACTAAAATTGTTGACAGATAGGGAGAATATGTGACCGAAAGCGAGCTCTTACTGCCACTAAGGTGTAGTTGCATTCAACGACTATGATACGGGCCTTAGAGAGATCACAAAGGTTCTTACTGAGTCGTTGATCCTCGTGGCGCTCCCCATCCTCCATATCTCGGCATGCACGTCATGAATATTGATTGGCTTCTTAGGTACACCGAGTGATTTCGATCAGTCTTGGATTTTGCCAAATAATCATATTATTCAGTTTTCCTATGGTCCATTAGCCCAGCACCTTCTAGAACCCGTTCGGTTTTAGTGATTTCGGAGTATTTAGCTGTTTTAGCAGTATTATGAAGATGTTAAGGTAATAGTTGAAAGACAAATGATAAAATTTATCTCGGTTTCTATAGTGGTTCCCTCGTTAGCCCATTGTTGTTTAAGTGAACACGAAATGAAAATGCGGAATAGTTACTTGCGATATGAGCGCAAAGAAAGCAATTCTTGAAGAAAACTGCTTTCGATGAAATAGCGGCACTAATCCAGAATGATAGCAAATAACTGCATCCAAGTGGGACTATGTGGAAAGGTGGCAAAATGAATTATGAGTTTACTGGATTAATTAGGCCTGATGGTAGTTTAACACAAATGTGTTTCTCTAATTCTTGCAACTTCGACCTCCGATATAACATTGCTCTATTATTCAAATTTACAACTCTCGGTGATCCATGAATGCCAAGCAAAT